TGTGTTATCTCAGACGTGGTAACAGACTTGGTTGTTCTGCCTATCATTTCTTTTGGTTAAAAAAAAAAACATTTTTTTGGTCCAAAGTCATTTTTACTTTTGTACACATATAAGGTGTGAGCATCTTAATGAGGAAAGGAAACCTCTTCCACTCCTTGTGGCCGAATTCTTGTTCTTGATCCTTTAGGCTTATGAGGGAATGTTGGTATGTGGGTTTTTTGTCTACCTTGTATCCTCCATCCTCTTCTAAGCCAAACAGAACTGAGCTATTACCCCACCTCCCCTTACCCCCAGGCTCGGTATGAAAGCCAGCGGATCCAAATGGAGTCGGAGTTGGCCGTGCAGCTGGAGCAGCGAGTGACAGAGCGGCTGGCGCAGGCTCAGGAGAGCAGCCTGCGGCAAGCAGCCTCCCTGAGGGAGCATCACAGGTACCCCGGGCTGGAGGGGTGCCACCTCTCCCCCCAGCAGCAGCGGGTGTTGGTGCCCTGCCCAAACCCTCTCAGACCCCTTTGCCATTTTCCAACACACCGGTGCTGTCAGTCTCTCCGTGAGAGAGCTGCCTTCGGGTTCACAGGGAGAGCCAGACATGCTTGGGAATTTTCAGTCTTCATCCCGTGGGAAGCAGCACTTAACCAATAACTGGTGGGTACAGGAATATAAATTTCCAGCTCCCTAGCCCCTGGTGGGCACAATGCTAAGCTGTGACCTACAGCATCTCCAGAATTACCCTGTGGGATTGAGCCTCCTCTGCCTACTCCCCTACCAGTTTTTTTCTGGAAATGCTTCTTAATTGAATCATTTCCCCATAAATCCTCACCTCAGTCTCTGCCTCTGGGGAACTCATCCTAAGACACCAGCTGTCCTTACCTCTTTCCTGAACCCCCCTGTGCCGGGCCCAGGTTGGCCAGCTGGCTGGCTGACTCTCACAGGCACACATTCTGGTTTTCCCTTGTTTGATTACTTCTCCTGTCTCCAGACTCAGTCCTCCTTTCTCACCTGTGTCCCCTCAGGAAGCAGCTGCAGGAGCTGAATGGACAGCACCAGCAGGAATTGTCCACCCAGTTGGCTCAGTTCAAGGTGGAAATGGCAGAACGAGAGGAAAGGCAGCAGCAGGTGGCTCAGGACTATGAGCTCAGGTACCGGTCCCTGGAGCATCCCTGTTAGGCCTCAGCCTCCGTGGGAATGGTGACAAGTTGCCTCCCCTGAGACCTGTCCTTTCTGCATGGGCCCAGCTCCTTTCAGAATTTCACATGTCACCTTCCCTTCTGACTCTTCCTGTTGTCCGAGTCTCTGCTTTCTCCAAGGCCCCACATCACCCCTCTGGCTTCTCTTTAGACTGGCCCGGGAGCAGGCACGAGTGCGTGAACTGCAGAGTGGGAACCAGCAGCTGGAGGAGCAGCGGGTGGAGCTGGTGGAGCGACTCCAGGCCATGCTGCAGGCCCACTGGGAGGAGGCAAACCAGCTGCTCAGCTCCCCTCTCCTGCCGCCCAACCCCACGGTAGGCCTCGCCCTTGACCCAAGCTGCTCAGAGCTGTGTTTTGATCCTTTCTGTGGAAATCGAGCTCCCTCCCAAGGGAAGCCTGTAGTTCAGTTCCTGGGACCTTCGTCCGGAAAAATGTCCATGGACTTCTGCAGAGAATAACTGTTTCATCCAAAGAAACCTTTTTGCCGTGGCCATAGCTCACTCAGACTGGCTCCACTGCCTTGGGCATAATTTCCTTCTCTCTGCCCAAGAGGGGGTGAGTAACATGTGGTGCTAGTTTTGCCAAAGGGCAACTGAATGAATTATGATGGTCAGGGCCAGAAATTGGTTGGGATTCTCACCCTTAATCCTCATATTGGCATCACCTACTTCATTCTTTTAATTATTAAATGTTTATTATGAGCTAAAATAATTTTTGGAATAGGTAATAATATGCACATGGTTTCAAAAAACTTCACAAATGCATACAGTGAAAAATGATCTCCACGCTATGCTGGCACCTCATTCTCCCAGTCCCTCCCCCCCCGAATCAGCCACTGTTCCTAGTGTCTTGAGTGCCTCCCCTGCCCCCAAACAGTAGCCTTCCATTCACGGTTATATGACTTTTTATTTAACCAAGTGCCTATTGGTGGATATTAAATTTGCTTCCTATATTTTGCTTCTGCAAACAGTGCTGCAAGCAGTATCATGAATATATGTCTTCATACAAGTATATGTATAAAATTTCTAGAAATGGAATTGTAAGATGAAAAATAAGGATGTTAATATTTGATAGAAATTTGATAAATGTCCCCAGATCTCCTTTTAAGGACACTATGCTAATTTGTAATCCTATTAAAGCGTCTGTACCGTGTCTTGACTCTTCAAATGCACTCTCTCTCATGCCCAGGTTCCTCCAGTCAGCCTATCCAGCCCTGGGCCTCAGGAACTGGAGAAGGGGGAGAGGAGGATGTGGACTGTGCCCCCTGTGGCTGTGGCCCTAAAGCCAGTGTTGCAGCAGAGCCGGGAAGCAAGGGAAGAGCTGCCTGGAGTGCCGCCTGTTCTCTGCAGCCCCTCCCCAGATCTTAGCCTCTTGCTGGGCCCCACTTTCCAGAGCCAGCATTCCTTCCAGCCCCTGGAGCCAAAGCCTGATCTCACTTCATCCTCAGGTGACTGGGGACGGAAGTTACTGGGGTTCCCTTTGCACACACTGATTTGCTCCCTCTTGTCTAGCTTCCTTTCTGTCCGAGACTTGAGCATTTAGTTTCCCAGATGTCTAGTGACCATAAGTTGCAAGGAGCAGAAATCCACTCAAGTTGGTTCAAGTAAAGGGAATGAGAAATGTGATGTATCTGTGGTTAATGAGAACTGGGGTTGGCGTCAGGGATGCTGCCGGGAACTGGGGCAGCTGTTCCTCCTCTCTTTGGGCCTGTGTGGGCTCTAGACTCTGCCATCCGGGCATCTGCTCCTTCCTCTTGGTCGACCAGCCCTCTCTCACTCTGGTTCTTGCTCTCACAACTTTGGTTCGCTTGAGCAGCTGTGACTCTGACTCCAGCCGAAACTCCAGACAACCCTGCAGAGACATTGGTGTCTCTGTTTCTTAGGTCCAGTTTAAAGAGAGGCAATCTGATGGGTTAGTAACCATCCCTTGGATCAGCTGACCTTGAGTGGTGGCCACCCCTGTGACAGGTGGATGGGGTGCTCTGTGTGGTGTAAATATGACAACCCAGGTCAAAATAAGAATGAGCGTGTGATCCAGTGAAGGATCCGGAACAAGTCTATTGATTTTTACTTTTAATTTTATTTATTTATTTATTTACTTACTTATTTACTTATTTATTTAAATTGAGAAAGTGTCAGTTTACAATGTTCTATTTCTCATGTACAGCATGCTTCAGTCATGTATACACGTACATATATTTATTTTCATATTCATGTGGTTACCGGAGGGGAAAGGGGGTGGGAAGGGATAAACTGAGAGTTCGAGATTCGCAGATACTAATTACTATATATAGAATAGAAGTATAAGTTTCTTCTGTCCTGCACAGGAAACAATATTGATCTTAAACCATTCTGTGCTGTGGTGGCGTTTATTTACTCAGAGTCTGAGCACCACAGCTTTCCCCTGACTGCACTTCTGTCGCAGAATTCAGCTGTACCATCTTTCAGTTGCCGTCAACCCTTCCCTCTCCAGCTGTTTTCAACTTTGATCATCTCCTAGTTGTGATACTCTGCTTATACTAAATAGGCTCCTTCCTTCCAGGCATTTGGTGAGTTGATTTGTGGAGGGGCCCCTTCCCTCTACAACACACACCCCTGTTTCACTTGACAGCGGAGGCCTTCTCTGCAGTTGGAACCTTCCATCCCGATCACAGGGCTGAACGGCCGTTCCCTGAGGAAGATCCTGGGTCCGACAGGGATGGCTTCCTAAAGCAAGGGCTGCCGCCCGCTTCCCAGCTTCAGGGCCTCAAGCATTTTTTGCAACAGGTAAAAGAGGGCCCACCTGTGCCACCTTGTTGTCTCCACCCCTTCCTCATTTCCTCTTTCTGCTCTGGGAGTCCTGCACTGTGGCTTCGTCCACATTTTAGGACTAAACCTTCCACCTAGCTTCTGCCTCTCCCAGCCCATCTTACTCTTACTACGGTAGTCCCTTCTGGAACTTAGGTGACCAGTCCGAGCTCTTACTCTCCCAAGACACAGAGGCCTCTTTCTTCATCAGTCCTCAGGGAACCTTACTGTCTTGTCCCCCCAGCTGCTGGAGACAGCACCCCCGAGCAACGAGAACCCCTCTGCCGACCTGCTGCCCACCAAGTCTGGTGAGTGTCAGCTCTGAAGAAGGTCGGGGCTGGGGCTGGAAAAGGTGGGAGCTGGTTATCAGGGATGGCGTTGTAGGAACCGGCAAAGGAGACAAAGCTTCATGAAGGCTAAGGTGGCAGGACTTCCTTGGCTGTTTGCCCCATTTTCTAATCTTGAATCTCTTTCCTTGTGCTAGGTCCTCTGACTGTCCCAACTTGGGAGGAAGCCCCTCAGGTGCCACGCCTCCCACCTCCTGTCCATAAAACTAAAGTGCCCTTAGCCATGGCGTCCAGTCTTTTCCGGGTCCATGAGCTTCCCTCAGCCCATTCACAGAGCGGTGGTCCCCGCGGTGGCTCCCCAGAGAGAGGTAAGAGGTCACAGTTTACTGGCAGATAAGAAGGGAAAGTCTCAGGCGTAGAGCTGGTACCTGCAACTGAAGGCTCTCCGGGATTCGGAGAGACGGGACACAGCCTGGGGAGAGGCCCTGGGATGACGACCTTTACTGATGTGTCTCAGGTGGAGATGGGCTCGCATCCTCGAGGCAGCTGATGGAGGTGTCTCAGCTGCTGCGACACTACCAAGCTCGGGGCTGGGGGGCGCTGCCTGCGGAGGATCTGCTGCTCTACCTGAAGAGGCTGGAACACAGCGGGTACCAGCCTGGAGGGACGGGAGGAAAGATTAGGTGGATGGAATCTGGATTGTGGCCAGGCAGATGGGTCAGGCAGGGAAGAGCGGAGTGTGCATGTTGTCCATTGAGTAGCATCGTTTGTCCTTTTCTGGGGAAGAAGTGAGGGCAGATCAGTGGCTCCTCCTCTTCCTCCCTCTCTCACTCCTTCCCACCTCTCTTTTGTTTCTACCTTTCTGTTGTTTCTTAAAAGAAAAATCTCTTCTTCATGTCTTTCTGCCTTAATTTTTTCTTCTTTATTCTGTGACTCAGAACTCAGAATCCTAGATTGTGACCATCTAGTATGTCAGTATTTGATTCCACTAATGTCTCCTCGTATTTGATCCCTGGGTTTGTCTTGTTTGTTTGTTCTTATTCTTAAGAGACAGAACTGGGGAATAATTCTTCCACCCAGTGTTGGGGAGAGTGGGAGGACCAGCTCCCCCATCCTCATCCCTTGATTTGCATGGCAGGACTGACAGCCGAGGGGATAATGTCCCCAGAAGGAACACAGGCTCCCGCTTGGGTGAGATCCCCCGGAAAGAGGTGAGGGAAAGTAGGGCAGGGGCGAGGGGGGTGGAAGGGCTCTCACTGACTCGTCCCTCCACTTC